GTGGATCTTATGTACTGAATTTTTACTTTTTTGTTTTTGAGATGGAGTCTTGCTCTGTAACCCAGGCTGGAGTGCAATGGCATAATCTCAGCTCCCTGCAACCTCTGCCTCCTGGGTTCAATTGATTCTCATGCCTCATGAGAATCAATTCTCATTCTCATCCCGAGTAGCTGGGATTAGAGGCATGTTCCACCATGCCTAATTTTTTTTTTCTTTTTTGACAGAGTCTTGCTGTTTTCCAGGCTGGAGTGCAGTGGCACAATCTCGGCTCACTGCAACCTCTCCCTCCCGGGCTCAAGCAATTGAGGCACCCGCAACCATGTCCAGCTAATTATTTTATATTTTTTGTAGAGATGGGGGTTTCACCATGTTGGTCAGACTAGTCTTGAACTTCCGACCTCAGGTGATTCACCCACCTCAGCCTCCCAAAGTGCTAGGATTACCGGTGTGAGCCACCACGCCCGTCCGTATTTTAGTTTTTTAAGAGCAGCTAGAGGTCTACGTTTTTAATGTAAATGTTTCCAATTAAAAAAATATTAACGGCCAGTTCATTTATAACAAACATTGTAAAACCCAAACAAAATACATGCGCAGGCCAGGATTTGGCTAAGGGTCCATCAGTTTGCTACCCCCAGGCTGTGGTTTACATCTCCTATGAACTCCAGGAACCTAGTCTTAACTTTGCAAAAGGAACACAGATGTTCATGAAGTGGTGATTGGACATGACCAAATGAAAGACAAGTGAGAATGATGATGAAGGCTTAAAAAAGTTACTCAGAGAATTGGCAGTATGTTAAATTAATGAATTCCTCAAGTAACTTTTATTACATACCCTAATATGGACCAGGCACTGTTACAGGATTAGGTGAGGGACATACAATCATGAGGAAACCACATCCCTGCCACTCTCTTACAAGCTTACATTCTAATGAGAAAGAAATTAAATGATAAAGCAAAATAACTTTGGCTAGTGGTAAGCATTATGAAAAAGTTAGTGCAGGCTAAGGGACAGAACATGATATGGGTGTTTAGAAAGGCTTCTTTTAGAAGGGGTGGTGAAAGCAGTCCCTCTGGAGAGGACTGCAGAGTGGGGACCTGAACAAAGACTATCTCTGAGACAGAAACATCCCCACATGAAGAGGATCGAAATAAAGGCTCAGGAAGAGACGTGCACATATAAGGAACGGAAAGAGTGGGGTTGATGGGAGAAGCTGGCAAGGGGTATTTTATAGAGTGATATGGGAAACCACTGAAGGCTTTATATGTTAGAGCAATGTGATAATACTTAAAATAGATCATTTTAGCTACTGTTCAAAGAAAAGATTGTGGCAAAGGCGTCACAGAAATCGGATGACACTTAACAGAAAAGTGATAGCTGATATAGGGAAATCTGATGAGCTATAAAAGCAGGCAGGATAGAAATTTTCTCTGTACTTAGAATTGGGTTAGAATTATATTGAACATAGATGGCAAAAGCAGAAAGGACAAGAGGACACCTGGAATCAATTAAGGCCATGAAAACCCGTTTTTCATGCCTTAATTATGAAAATCTTATACTGTTCAAGATTTTCTATAAGGTACACACATTATTGAAGATAATTAGAATTATCCAAGTAGCATTCTCAAACATCTGTAGTTTGAAATGTGTTTATAAGAGTCATAAAATTCAAACTTTTCTGAGTATTTGAGTGCTTTCCAATATGAAGTTTAAATTGCAGTGGTAAAAATAAATCCTATTTGCCCAATACATATACTACACAAAATTGTTGTAAGGGTCAAGTAGAGAAGTAAAATAACTTGTCAAGTCACCTTAGTGGAAGAATGATTTGAATGCAGAGCTGACATGGAAGTCCACGTTCCTTCCACATAATAGAAATGTTCAAGTGGTTACAAAGCCAAAGTTTGAACAAATGAAAGTTTTCAAATGGTTAGAACATCACACTGTGGCTTCCAGCCTAAGAGTGAAAGGGATGAAGGGCTCAAAGCCCACACAATGAATGCTGCTCTGACGTGATGTTCCCCTTATCAAAGCTCAAGCACATTGTGTCTCTTTGAACCCTTCAATATATCCACGCATTAAGACCCTTAATATGCCTATACTTTTAATTTCATTTTTAAAAATTTGGTATGTAGCTGGGCGTGGTGGCTCATGCCTGTAATCCCAGCACTTTGGGAGGCTGAGGTGGGTGGATCACGAGGTCAGAAGTTCGAGACCAGTCTGGCCAACATAATGAAACCCCATCTCAACTAAAAATACAAAAAAATTAGCTGAATGTGGTGGTGTGCGCCTGTAATCCCAGCTACTTGGGAGGCTGAGACAGGAGAATCATGTGAACCCGGGAGGCAGAGTTTGCAGTGCGCCAAGATTGCACCATTGCACTCGAGCCTGGGCGACAATGCGAGACTCCATCTCAAAAACAAACAAACAAACAAACAAAAAAAACCAAAAAAACTGGTATATAAATTTTGGAATTTATCTTCATAATCTATTACAGCTTAGGGTGAGTTAAGAAATGGCTCTCAGAACAAATGATTATTATGAAATTATTTTTTGAAAACTCATGAAAACTAAATGTTTAAGCTTTTGATGCAGACTGTGGCATTAATAATGGGGTTATAAGTGGCAATATTTAAAAGCTATTGAAGTAAAACTTAGAACTTCATTTCTGAAAGTAGTCATTTTTATGTTCACTTTGTTTTAAAATAGGAACATGGTTAAGAATTTCACTGCTCTGTGAACTTAAGATACCAACCGCAAAGGACAAATGTAATGTTCCATAACATGAATGGACTTGTATTAAAAATCAGGATTTAATTTGTGGGTCATTTGAAGAAAAAAAGTACCAGGATCATTAGGACAAATAACATTTTCATTCCCATAGTGGGGCAACTAAAACCTGAGACAGAGAACAGACAGAGGGAACACAGACACAAAGGCCAGCAAAATGCAAGCACCAATGGGTAAGAACTGAGAACTCAGCAAAATACCTGGTGGACGAGGCGGCAACCTAGTTTTCAGTTCTAAAATAACACAGTCTGGGCATCCATGCTTCTGAATTCCAGACAAATAAGCAATTTAAACCTGAATCTGATCGAGCCTCAAGATCTACCAGTTTACCACACAGGGGACAGAAACATGTGTTCAGTGACAGCATACTTAGTGAACAAACCCAGGAGAAAAATTCTTCAGGATATGACCCAATTTCTTCAAGTAAAAAATACGGAGAAGCCTGTGGTTAAAGTCAATGCAACATATTTGGACTTTGAACAAACCAATTAAAACAAATTAGAGATGACAGCACTCTGGATACTGATGGGTAGTATTGCATTACTTTTAACTCTTAGAGTAAAGCTATATGGTTATGTTTTAAAAGTCCTTAACCTTGTGTATTGAAATACTTGGGAACAAACTTACTCGTGGGGGATTTTCTTCCCAATAGCAAGGGTGGGAGGTGGAATGGTGAATTGGAGTACAGATTGAATAGTTTGCTGATCATTACTTTTGGAGCTAATAAATGGATATTATAGGTATTCCACAACTTTGTGTTTGAAATTTCCCATAAGTTTGAAAATGGAAAGTTTTAAAATAGCCATAGGGCAGCATGAAGTTAACATCCTTTGACAACTTAGAAAACTGATTCTGTAACAGGTAAGACAAAAATCAAGACCCTGGAAAAGCTCTTTCCCTAGCCCACAAAGCCACCTCCAAAAACACCTTTTAACATACAAACCTCATTTCACATGCAGGTTTATCCTCCAGAACTCCCCATCTTCACAAACCACCCTCACCCACAGCACTCCTATTTCAAAGCAAAGATAAGGCACATAAGTAATTTAGACACTATTAATAATTTAATACTTGGGAGGTTGAGATGGGAGGATCACTTGAGGCCAGGAGTTTGTAACTGACCTGGGCAACATAGCAAGACTTCATCTCTAAAAAAAAAAAGTCAAAAAAAAATTCAAGATTAATTTGCTAACAGGGCCTTTGCTGACATTTGCCTTTCTTCAACGTCTGTCTTGTAAAGCAAACTGTTTAGCATTTAGAAGTAGCTTTTCAGAAATATCAATTTATAACTCAGCAATGTGTACTACAAATCATGCAGAAAGAACAGTCTTAATGAACCATTTACCCTTTCAAGCATGAAGTGGCTAACTTATGCTGGGTCTTGTTAACGTTTCTGGTTAGTCTTTACAGTTAGAACTGTAACTGATTTAAGTAGCAGAGCCTTTATCTCCTTCACAGAAGTTGCCTTGTGAAGCTGTTTTTTCCAGCCTCCACCACCTGCCATTAGTGAACATGTTTTAAGTCTTTGAAATCCTCTTCAGAAGCTGTAACTTTAAAAAAAAAAAAAAAAAAAAAAAAAAAATCCTTAGCAGTAGTACATCTTCCCCTCTGCGGATGTATTTTATTTCTTGAAACAGCAACAAATCACTTGGAGCCAAGTCTAGCAGACAAGTAATTAAAGTAGATAAAATAAATGTAATGGTAATCTTCATGTAATTATAAAGTAATGCAACATTTTGACTTTCAAGATCTGTAAACTGATTTCCAAAATGATGAAAATAATTACTAAATGTAACTTGAAAACATTAATTTGGACACAAATTCTGGCTTTTCATCAAAACTTCCCTTCTTTGTGGTCTGAATTCTCCTAGCCTTCATGAAGTCGTAACATTAAATGCCTAAATTATACAGAACTACTAAAGCTCAATAGTTACTAAATTTTGGTTCACTCAATAGGGTACCTCATTTCATAAATTGTACTTAAGTCTGACTCAAAATTACCTTGTGGTACCATTCAAGAGAAAATCAGGTTTTGAGTTTAGTGCTACAATACATTAAATGTTACATTGCTGGGCCACTCCCGTTTGCTTTTTCCATATAGACAATGATGACTTAAAATAGCTCACAATGCAGTTAAGAATTGCATTTTAATAATCTCAAACTACCATCTGATGGAGGAAAGAATAAGTTTGTCAGAAAACCAGTACAGCCATTTTGCTATTAACGTTTTGCTTTTTAATAATTTATTTAAATAAGATATTTGAAGCAGTTTAGAAAAAACAAGATTTGTATTTTATTTCCTTGTAAAAATCTTTACACATGCAGACAAACCAGTGTTAAGAAAGTATTCACCATCATTTAAACAAATAACCACTTAAATAGAACAGTGTCTGCAATTTTATCTGTATAAAAATAAGATACATTTTTACAGAATTCACGCTCCAGTTCTTATAGCAATAAACGATACACAACTATAATAAAGTACAATTGAACCTGACCATGGTTTTTAATTAGATACTGCTAGGGCATTTTAATGTGCAAAAAAATTAACATAGTTCTTTTCAACAGAAAATGTCCTCAGTGTTCTAGAGACCTAGAGGGTTTCAAGAAATCAAATCCTAATCAGTTTGCAGTTTATGTTTTGATTGAGTCCATACATCACACTGTAGATAGCCAAAACCAAGAATTGATGCAGGCTCAAAGGAAGAGGAAGTCAGCGCCTGTGCCTGCCATGTCCTGAGCGACTGCCACCGTGGTGCTTGCTTTTATGGGACCTCTCAAAGGAGCGAGATCGTTCACGCCTGTCCCTATGATGTCCCCTTTCATGCCTGTGTTTCTTGGCTGCATCTGAGTGATCCCGAGACTTGCTCTGAGATCGAGAACGAGATTTTTTCCTTTTATGACCATGTCTGTTTGAACTTTTTAAATCATCTCTGGTATGCTTGGCCTTAAGGTGAGGAGAACCATGATTATGATGTCTTCGAGGGCTTTCACTGTGACTGCGGGACCTGCTTCTTGATCTTGAGCTGTATGTTCCAGATCGACTCCGCCTATTATTATAGCTTAGATAATAAAAATTTGAAGTTTAGGTTCAGTTTCTGTGGGGGAAAAGATTATTCTGGTGGTTGCTCTTAACAGGTTCTAAACGCAGCTACCAGCTATGTGAATAACCAGAACTTTTAAAAAATCTTCCCACCCCTGACTTCTGTATGCCCAAGCCTATAACATATTAAATCTTAAGCATATGCTCTTATGTCTATATTCCAAGGGGAGTAGTTAGCAATTTTTATAGTGTCCTCCTAGAGCTATGCTTTTCATTAAACATCTACCACATGTTCAAAGGAGACAGTGAAGAGCCACAAGGAGCTAACAATCTAATTACAAGCCTAACTAGGGAAGATTCATTGATTGGTTAATCTGATTACTGGTTATTAATAAGGGGTTAATAAAATACATTTGCTAGCAGAAATTAAAAATAAAAGTTTTCACATTACAAATGATACTGTGGCCCTCACAGCACTTCATGGGTAGCTCCTACACTTCTCCAAAAAACATGGGAGAAAATATAACAGAATGCCATTAAGATCCTTTATGTCCAGAACATCTCCAAACTAAGTTCTCCTAATTTGCCTCATATTAAAAGCCTAATTCTAACCTAACTTTGAAAACAATCTATATTCAATTTTTAAAGAAAAAACAATAACCTTTAAAAACTCCAAATAAGACTGCTTTCCTAAGAAAACATTTACTTACTGTCTTCTTGGAGTATGTGATCTAGAGCGAGATCGTGTTCTTGACCTTGATCGACTTGCACTTCTGCTATTTCTACTTCTCTTGCTGTCTTTTCTTACACTTCAAAAAACCACAATATATTAGTTACAAACTTAGTGTGTTAAAAAGTAAACACATAAAAGATTCCTCAGGCCAATTTTCTAGCCCAAGTTTACTCACCCATTGTAAGGGCTTTTGGAAGCCTGCTGTCTATCCTCAGGTTCTTTTTTGACTGTCTTCACATTAATGGAGATTGGTGATTTCTCTTCGGCTTTTATTTCTCTTGGTGATGCTTTTAAGACATAACAACATGTTAACTACTGGTTTTAACAGAGGGCCAAAAGTTGTTTCTAAATGTAACTGAAAGTACCATGCTTCCAGTATCAGTCTTTAGTTGACTCCCAGAGAAAACACAGTAACAGTTTCTTAGCAATTTTTCTCTATGTAACTTTCAAATGTAAAAGCTCTCTAATAAAGAAAACACTTTCGGTGCCCCCAAGTCATTTTAATTCTAAATACATCTTACATGGCTTGGAGGCTGGAGAAAATCCACCAAGGGTTGAAAGGGCTGGAGTTCCATCAGGATTCAATCCCTTTGCTTTTAATTTGGCTTCTTGTAGGGCTACTTTTCTTTTTTCTACTTCTTTTTCCAATAATTCATAGTTTGGCTGTTGAAGAAAAAAAAAAAGTTACGTGTTTCTCCCTTATAGTAGCTTAGACTCTTAGCAAATTGACATAAACGAGTAAACAAAGAATACCTTTTTTCTGGTATAAAGCCTAAGCGTTTCTATGCAGATATCCTGGATTTCCTCTTCTGTAGTACCAAAAAGAAGAAACCAATGGGGACGAGTTGGCAATGGAATCTAAACCATAAGAACAGAATGGTTTAAATTTTTGTTGTATCTGTATTGGAACCACTGAAAATTTGTGTGATTTATCCTACAGAACAAAATGGGAAACATACACCTACCTGAAGTGCTCTAGCTGCAAGGTAGATGCAAGCACATGCTATAGTCTCTGGTTGAAATCGAACAAACACATTGGTTCGAAGACTGTCGTTCATGTAATTCCTGAAAAATATTTCAACTATAAGCTTGTATGTAAACAAACCAGTTCTTCTGAAGCTTACATAAAATTGGAGACTCAATCTACTTTATTCTTTTTTCTTCTCTTATTTATATTCACATCCTCATATTCTAGCATATAACAACTCTTAACTAAAAAAAAAATCAGTAAGCAGTTAAGAATTTAATAGGAGGACCATTTGCAGTTCTCCAATACATATGATCAAAGCCCTTTTAAATTATTTTGTATTACTATCCGACTAGAAATTACTCAAGTATTATTTCTGTAAAAAGCAATGCTTTCAAAGTCAATTCTGACAAGATTAGGTTCAGAAATGATAAACCACTCCAACAATACTTCAAGCCATTAATTATTGACCATCTCTCCTTTATCCACAATAAAAACTGTGTCAACCAAGTTCGTTTCAAAAGCTCAAAGTATCATTAACGGGTAAAAAGGCATTTTCAGTAAGTACCAATTTTTAAACTTACATTAAGAAAGCTAAGAGACTTCAGAAAATCTAGATAGGGAAGTAAAGAGCAATAAACACATATAATGGCCTTGTTTACATACCTTTTTTTTGTGACTAGGTAAAAGAGATAAACTATTTCGGTTAAAAAATTGCTGAACTTTTATTATTAATGAACTCTCCCCACAATATTCCTAAACTAATAAAGAAAATTTACAGGTCATTTAAAAGGTTAAGCTGAAATTAAACGGACTATTTCTTAAAAATCCTAAACCATCAGAACTGCTATAATCCATTTTATGAAAAACATTTAAAATGTCATGCATTTTATAAAAGTAACGAGACTTTTCTAACATTACAAACATTTACTGAGTCCAAAAGAAGCATGGCAGTCATAAATAGGACATCTTGCTGGGAAGTCCAAAATATAAAAATTACTTAACTGAGTCCTTCACATCAGTCTTAGCAAACAGTAGTTGTGGCTGAACCACAAACTCCTTGGCTTGACCTTTAAATATGCCAGCAAGCAAAATCACACATCTGCATCTCAAAGAGTCCAAGTGCTAAAGCATTTAAGCAGTATAATAGTAACATCTCTTTCAATAATGAAGTGCTTCTTACTTCTAACATTACCCGCAATACAGCCAAGCAGCTATATAACTACATAAATTAAGCCAGTGTGGGAACTGGTGCCCATTTTAAACTGCAAGTTTGTAGTCTCCTTTGGTAGAATTCATGCTATACACACTAAAAATAAAAATTTAGTCAAACTCCTAATAAACCATTTAATTCATAATGGCTGGACAACAATTCTATCAAAAATGAACTATTCATTTTGATAGTTACAAGTATACATTAAATACATAGGCATGTCAAATAGTTACTTCTAGAAGCAAATATACAAATCCTTTTGACACCCCGACAGAACTAGAAGATGCTGCCAGATGGATATGGACCACTTCAGTGAATCTCGGATGAGAGCTTGCACTGGATTGGCTGGAGAGCAGGGTAGCCAATCAGGCCATCCTGAGGTCATGGGCTGAAGTGCAGAGGGCAGAGTTCTATGACTTACCATCATGGACTACCCTTTAATTAAAGAGTAGAAAAAAGAACAAAGTTAAATTGAGTTCTCCATTAAAAGTAATTAGTCAAGCCAAGAAAACAGGAAGCAGAAATAAGCATTATTTACCTTTTGGTTAAAAAAACAAAAAGAACAACAAAAAGCCCCAAAACAAACTTATCTCATTATTTTGGAAAGGGAAACGAAACTTACTTTATTTCTGCTTCTGTTTTCCTGGCTAGGAAAGAAATCTAAAAAAGTGACTTACCAGGCAGTTTGAACCAGGGTTTGATTACGTTCACATTCTAAGACTTGTAAATACATAACAATGATCTGAAGGACAAGGGAAAAAAACTCAATTTAGTATACTGGTAGTTCTTTCAGACTACAGAGTTCAATAAAAAAAGTAACTGAAAATGTTAGATTCAAGTTCTAATTCTACATCAATAACACAGACCAACTTAAACGTACATAAGATTCTAATGTGAGTTGTTGTATTACTAGATTTTTACATAAATTGTTTAGAACTGTATTTTAAAATTGTGTGGGGAAAAAAGGCAATTAAAGAATATTTTTCATTGGCACTTTACCATGTGACAGGCACTGTGCTAGGAGATTATTTCACTTAATTTCCCAAGGTACATTTTTAGCCCAGATAGTTCTGACCTGAGCACTCGCTCTACCACTTATACGGATGATAATGAAAGCTAAGAGATTTAGAGAGAAACAAATTTCCAATAACGTTTAACAGTGAGCAGCTACTACACTTAGAACATTCTACTATGATGGTTAAGTATGCCAAATACTTTTGTAGCTACATATTATTCCTTGGAATGAGGAACTTTACATCTCTGTTCTCTAGGTGGAAAAACTGGGACTTTACCCACAGAAACAAAAATAACTTCTTTGTGACCACACAATTAAGATTTGAACCTAAATTTTTGTACTCTCATTTTACTGATAAATCTCAACATCCAAAAGAATGTTTTTTGATGAAGCCTGAACCTTTAAAAGAATGCTTTTTAAAATCAAGGTTAACGCTCACATAGAAACATAAATTCGTATCAAGTAGAAATTTTGGAGAACTCCTAATACTTACGAACCCAATTTCTGTACTCTATAACTCACCTTATGAGGATGCTTGACATGAACACAAAATCCCAACTCCTTTAGCACCCTCCTCTCTGCTTTGATAACTTGATTTTTGGTGTTAATGTAGTTCTGATCAAGGATCAGGGGGCTTGGAGTCCTATAGTTTTTAAGAAATAAAATCAAAACTGTTTTGCACATCCAAAAAATTTTATTTGTGGCATCTCCATTTTCCCTTCCAACCAACTATTGGCAACAGAAACCAGCTTTTTAAACTCCTGCAAACAAGTTAAAGCATTAATCTTGTGCTGTCCAAGTTATACTAATTAAATATATACATCTATGAGACTAAGTTCAACTAAATTCTATAATGAAAAAAATTCAATCTAATGCTCTTGGGTTCATCCTTGTCAACTTTTCCATTCTGCTTATATTCTGGGTGTGTGTGTATACATATTTAACTTTAGAGATAGTGTGATTTGTTATCACAAACCTCAAAGTCTCTCCAAGAGACTTTCCACTGACAAAACTAATGTGCTCCAGGCTGGTCCGATGGCAGTGGGTTACCAGAACTTACTAACATCAGTGTCACTAAAGTTGGTAGACAATCCCCTACTGCTAAATTTGACTGGCTTAAAAAAACACAAAAAACTAATGTGCTTCTAAGATTTACAGTACTATAAAGTCCTCATAAGATCATACTGTTTTTTTTACTCATTCTATAAAATAACAACTGTTGGCTGGTTTATGGCCAAAATTTTTTTAAAACTTGGTGGGGGTGGGGGGGAACAGTGGGTAGTTTATCCAGATTCCCCTAATGGGGTGATATGTTTTTAACAATTTGTTCTAAGAGCCTACCTGTTTAAAAAAGCAATCTGAAAACTAAAGATTTAGCTCAATTACCCAAGTAAATTAAAAATTATATTATGAGATTCATGAGATCAAGGCCAAAATTTCATCAGGGTTGTGGCTTCAGGCAACATACTTTTGTATTAATACAAAAGAGAATGAAGGGCCATAGTGAGGAAACCAGAACACATTCAAGGGCTCTGTATCAGACTAAATTTTGGTAATTCAGAAGGTTCTAAAACACAGAAGGCTTATGTCAGTGATTTAATGCTTTAAAAGTAGCATATTCAACTGATGTTATCCCCAAATGTTTTATTATATAGTTTAAAAACCTACCACTTAAAATAAAAGACTATCTTATATGTCTTACAATTCAAAACTGGTTTCTTCCTGAGAAGATTTAGTCAGGAAAGGTTAAGGAATTGAGCTTTTGTTTTTTGTTGTTGGTCATATCTGAAATTTACCCATGTCCAATATATTCTTAGATCCAACCAACAAAAACTACAATTTTATCAAGATATTGATTATATGGTAAGTTTACAGGTTGAACTTACTCAGCCAAAAGACTGTTCTAGGCAGAATACACAATCTGTTTTTTTAAAACAGTCATCCTCTCTACCCCAATGCACATCAGATCCAGAAAAATGTAATCTCATATTTAAAAAACCAAAGTCTATTTCAATACATGCACCTGAAGGTTAGAAAATCTGAAATGATCTTTATTACCCCTATAGTAACATCAGAGTAAAAAGTCAGCTATCATACGTTTTCCTTTATTCCATTTAAAATTATTAGAAACTGGAATGCTTACTAACGACAACTGGCAGACCTGACAAGATAAAAAAAACAGCTGTTACTTAAAATGGCCTTCACTTAGTTCCATTTCTCACACCTGTAATGAGGCCACCAGTTGGCCTCATTGAGCTGCTTTCTAACATTAACGTGTAATGATGAATCCACTTTATCAGGACAATAGGCTACAAATTGCTCTTTGGAAAAAAAAGTTAAACTTAATTCTTCTTAATTCTCATGAGAGCAACCTATCTCACTCACACACACACACACACACACACACACACACACACACTCTCTCTCTCTCTCTCTCTCTCTCTCTCTCTCGCTCTCTCTCTCTCTCTCTCTCCACACACAAGATCTTAAGGCTTATGATCAGTCTTTATCATCATAGGAAATTTGTAAACAGGTTAAATCAACCTCACTCTTTTTAACTGAATGGCTGTGTTATCTAATGGCTCTCCTTAAACTTGCATTAAGAGATAAAATAGCTCGTGTTACAGCTGTATACCATTTTAACTCTTAACCCCTTGCAATCCAGACAGTAGACTGTATCATCAAAATTCCTAAATACAATTTTATTAAAGTACAGTTGTCTCATTTTTCTCCATTTATGTTAATAAAGATTATCTATACCTCTAAAGATAACTGCTTTAAGAGTTGCCTTCAAATGGTGACATAATTCATTTGTTTTTCTAATTACACTAAAGCAGTTAAATATTTGTTTGAATCATAGCTATTTAGTCCCAAATCAGATTTAATCAGGCCATATTGTTTGTGTCAAAATCCCAATGATACCAACATAGATTGAAGAAAACCAAACCCATTATTTACTATAATTCAACTACATACTCAACTTCTTGCTTAATCCTATTACCTGCAGTTTTCAAAGTTAACTTTGTGGGTGTATAACCTAAAACCAGAAACCTTATTTTGTTCAGAATTGGTTTTACCTCACAAATTAAGGATGTACCCATAATTTACAACTACCTGCTAGAGATTATTTTGTATCGTAAATTTAAAAAGTATCTCCATAAATCAGCAATAAACAAAGTTTCAAAGTATAAATTAGTACTTTGTTGCAACAAGTACATTAAATTAAAGCCTGCTAGAATTTCTTCCTCCCCAATCAGGTAAACTTTCCTTGCCAATAAAGTCTGGAGACATGGCATTTTTAAATCTCTAAAAAAGACTTCAGAGAAAACAAAAAAAATTTTCATTATCAACACACAAACTAACTCAATCTCTGCTTTAAGTTTTATTGTCTGATTTTTCTGATCTATACATGAATAATTTTCAACTTTAGAAAATCCTGGGACTTTGGTCATTAGAAATTTATTAGGTGGTTTGTTAGAGGCGCGATTTTCCTTTAGCATGATTATGTAATTGAAGTATAACTCAACAAAAATTACAGAGTCCAAACATGGTAGTCTCATTTATGTGTTATAAAGACTGAGAAATTTGGAACTAGATCTTCAAGAGACTATATTAATAACAGACAGGTTGTTTACAAAGAGGCAGACTGCCAAGGAAATGTACAGAAATTTGTAATGCCTACTTCAAAGGTAGAAACATTCTTTACAGGTATTTAAATAAACTGAAAGCCACCTTGTAGAGCCACAGAATTAAACTGTAGAAGGCTGGCTGACTAAATGACATCACTTAACACCCTTCTAATTCTTACCTAACCAACTTTTATGATCTATCGATACACTAAAAATATACATTTAATAATGAGAATGGTTAAACCAGTCCTAAAAAATATTAATACACTACGTCTCAGAAGTAAATATGACAAAGCAATCATCCCTCTAAATTTAGCCATTCATTCTGAACCTAAAAGACAATTACTGAACCACAAAAAATTTGAAGGAGGAATAGGCCAAACAATCCAGGTTGGGGATTAAGGACTGGTATTTTTTAAAAAGCTTCTCTGCAAGTTCTCAATGTGTAGCCAGGCTGATGAGACCAAAGACCTACAGGCGACATGAATAACGTATCTCCACTGTAACTGTCAAAGTCACACTGCAATTTAAAGTTATGTATCGACTAGGTTAAAACAAATAGCATCAAGACAAGTGATATCCTTTACCTAACTGATGTGTAATACTGATAGTACTTTCTAATGACACTAACCTATGCAAAAATAAATACAAAGCTATAGTTCTAATAACTTGGACAGCAAAGACAAAAGCTTATAACAAGAAACAGGAGTTTTTCTAAATGGTTCACCAGTGGCCAACCTGTTAGTCCCCGATTCCAGTGACCTATTCTCAGAGCACTGGCTTCTCCTTGGGGATTTTCGATACTTCACTCACTGTTGCCATGACGACAGCTTCATCTCTATGTACCACTCCACATCACCCAGGCTTTGGTAAATGTAGCTGGTCGCTGTATAGTCGGTTGCAAGGGAAAAAAGAGTTGAAGTTAATAACATATACAAGTTACGTGCTTGAGTAAACTTGTAATATGCATAGAAACACTTTTACATCCTGCTTTAAAAAAAGGCTTCCATGCAATTAACAACTCCTTTTTAATTTTGCTATAATCAGACTTCTAAGATTGAAACAAAATCAGTTTTCTCTGTAATAATGACCCAAAAAAACAAAGTTACATCAGACACAACAATCAGGTGAGATCATACTATTTTAAATTCCACGGTTTTTACAGTTAAGACCTATTCTGACATCAGCGAAGAAAACTCAGTCTCACAGAAAACTTCCCAAAAGATAATCATGTGATTACACAATAGTTGGCTCAATAGTTCAAAGGATAATGCTAGAAAACCATTTCCTTTAAGCAAAGAGAAACCTTTGACTAAAGATAGAGCCTTGTATTAGTGTCATGACTTTAAACATCCTGAAGAATCAGTCAGGTGCTATCTAAATAGATTTAAGCTCAGACCATACCAATCACCAATTTGAAATCTTCCCAATTCCCAAGGACTTACCAACAAACTAAAAGGTATTTTAGAATTTAAAAATTACTCTATCCCTGGACACAGTTAAGGTGAATGAGTAAAGATAGGGGAGAAAAAGTATGTAAGAAAACGGTTTCAGACTTTTGACTAGGATACTCTTAAAAAAAAAAAAACAAAAAAAAACCTGTAGACTCACAGAATAGACTAGTCATCTTAAAGCTGCTTTAATATTTGCTTATCTGAATAGTTCCATTACTGCCAACTTACAGATTCAGCCAATAAGGACTACTCATTTAGGATACCAACTTGGCACTAACCAACATACCCAACCCCCAGAACAACTTACGATCCTTTTAATAACTTCCTTTCAAACTCAGTACAGTTTGTTGAACTTCACTACAATTCCTTAAAGAGTGAATACAAAAACTAATCTACACCAAATATAACCTTCTGCAGCATGTACTGGAAGTCACCTGTAGATGCAAGAAGTCTTGCAACAAACTTTTTGGTACTGCCTCAAAGGAACACATAGGTCCACATAAAGTTATGTTATCACAACACCTAGCAGATACTATTTCAGTCTCTATTTTCTTACAACATCAAATAAATGGGCCTCATCTAAATGTAACCCAATCACTCCAACTTGTTAATTTTCTAACCCACTCACTGAGACTGTATCTGACCAAACAAAATACCTGTTTAATCCCTTTGACTTCAAACTTCAAACTTTATCATCCTGCAGTCCTTTCAGATCCGGTATTATTCGATATATCGTAGTTCAATGTTGAGAAGTACTCTAACAAAAGCCAACCTCAATTGATAAAGAATTAACTGGGACTTCGAGTAGAAAAACATAATCTACACAGAACTTTGCCACAATATTAACTTAAACTACAGTGTTAAAACTTCCAGCCTTCAGTCTTCCAGAAAGGGGAGAGGAAAAATAACTTACAGAATACACTCACACTTGAGCCAAATGTATTCCCTTTCTTGTTTAATCTTAAGCCACAGGCCTGGCTTCACAGCACTGTTAGGATTGTCCATAAACGCAACTGCCTCTACAAACTTTAGATAACTGGTTAATTATGGATTTTTTCAAATTAATTTAAATATCAGTGTTCCTGTATGAACTTTAACACCTAAATTAAAGTCCGTTTTGTTTTGCACCCATATTCCCTTGAGAGGAAAGATGTTTTCACTTGATGACTGGTGCACGGTACAGCAGTAGCAAGAGATGCTATGCTCAATAATGCCAATCTTACCTTTTTCCTCTTAACTGGCGCAGGTGGTGGAATACATTAATCACATCTCTTATTCTTCTAGGTGCTTCTTCGATTTTTGATGCAAGATTAATACAAGCCATAGCAACAATCTGAAAGAATCCAGGAGAAACAAAAACCATTGTTAGATTAAATTTACTTTGATGAATAAACTTTAGAACACAAGTGGGACAACCTTTAGCAAAATTAGAGCGAACATTTCTATGCCATAAGCTTACTAGCTAAGCTAGTACCATATTCTTTTTGTTGTTCTACTCATCTTAATTTTGGTTCCAGAGTCAAGCTCAACCTCACAGTGAGTTCTGCATTTGGTTGAAAACTGTACTTCTCCTTAAGAGGGCACGCTTAGGTTTGGGATCCATTTTCTAGAGTTTGAACACACTCTAAAGGTTTCCAGAGAACTAGGTACAAAGGCCTAAACTAAACCACACCCTTTCTGGAAAAGCTGGCTGCTGACACTACCCCTACTTCTGCCCATTTCCGGATGAAAAATCCCCTTTTAACCGCCTCCGCAGTGCTTACCTCGAAACTGTGTTTGACGAAAGACTTGGAATAGAAAAAACGATGAAACAACACCTGCCCCGTTGCCATCGCCACCTGCAGACAAGAGAGGAGAACCGAAGCGCAGGGGTCAGGCGGGCCCGCTCCAGGCGCCGGCCGCCATTTTGTGCCGCCGCTGGCTTCCCTTTCCCCTCCCGCCGCCGCCGCAGCGAACAGCACGATGCCGGGTCCTCCCACCGCCTCCGCAGCCCCCCGCCCCAGCACGCTCTGGCCCCGGTGGGCCCCAAGCGGGATAGCCTGAGAGAGCCGTCCCCACCCTGCCGGGGCCCGGTGATACTGAGATGCGGCGTAGGGGACGAAAGGGAGGAGAGGGGCACCCGGCCGGCCCGGGGCCGGAGCACTGACCTGCGGCAGCCGGAGGAGAATGCCGGCGGCCTGGATGAGCTCGCAGCCCAGGATGCGCAAGTCTGTCTCGCTGGGCAGGTCGAGCCCGTCCTGCATGGACGGGGTGGGCGAGAGCCTCTCCTCCGGAATCAGAGAGTGGTCGATGGTGAGTGAAACTTCCGAGTACAGGCGGTCGCCGATCAGGATCCCTCCCGTCGTGGTCGTCGTCGTGGTAGTGGTCCCGGAGCTGGAGCCGCCCGCGCTTGGGACAGCTGACGAAGCGGCGGCGGCGGCAGCAGTAGCTGTCGGGTGAGGCCCGGACGCCATAGTCTTAGCGAGCTGCACGCAAGCCCAACGCAGCCGGAACCCGAAACGAGACTAACTAACCAGCGTTCTCGGCGCGACGGATATTCCCGTGACCGCCGGGTTCTCAGCCGCTTCACGCCGTGTGCGCTTCCGCCCTGACGTCACCACGCCGGGCCGCCGCGCGCCAACTAGTCCCTCCAGGCAGCGGCCCCGCCCTTGGCGTCTGGTGCTGCCACCGACTTTGGTGTACTCAGTGGCCAAGGAGGCCGTTTCTAACCAAGGCCCGTCGAAACCGCCTTATCTTCGATACTTAGCCACACAAAAAACGGAGCTTAAAAAGATCTCTTATGCTCAAAATAGAGGTGACAGCATTGACTGTCATTCCTGCTTCCGTCCTCTCCTTCAGCCTCGGCGCGGCTCCTGTTTCGCTTGTACCAAGGGAAGTGGCGGCCGATCTAAGCGCGCTTTGGCGGGTGGAAGTGGTGACTCTGGTGTCGTATGTGGACCAGTGTGTAATATAAAATGACCTTCAAGGAATCTGGAGAGGGTGCTTTACAGTATTTGGAGGACACAGGGCTGTGGACCGTATCGGTTCCCAAATGACAGCTCCACGGAAAGCGTGTGGTTCCCAGTGTGGGGAAGTAGAGCGGAGGCACAGGAATGATCCGGAGGGCGGCTGCTTTCGTAGCTCCGCTTCCGAAACTCGTGGCCGGCTTTTGACACCGCCACGGCTTTCAGTAATTGGAAAATCCCTAGTTTCCAAAAATAGTCTTAACAGTCAGGACTTGACAGAGGTGATTTGATTATGCCTAGGAGTCTCTATTCGTACATGGTTACCTACCGTGGGTAGGCAGGATGGGTGAAGTCAACCTCGTACTTATTTCCTCTGATACTAGCTAGCAATTTCCAGTGTTTCCAGAAACTTGAGGTAAAAATAATACTGATCTAAACTACTAGAATCTACGTTGGAAGGAAAGGAATATAAAAATTAGTGGTGGCACACATCTATACTACCAGCTACTTAGGAGGCTAAGGTGGGAGGATCATCTGAGCCCAGAGAGATCAAGGCAACAGTGAGCTATAATAGTGTCACTGCATTCCAGCCTGAGTGGCAGAGTAAGACCCTGTCTCAAAAAAAATAAAGAGAAAGAAAATAAAAAGAAACACTGTGATAGTTTTTCCAAAGTATGATTTTTCTGGAATTTGTCCCTGAAAAGGATAGGGCAGAGTTATCATTTTTTAAAAATTATTTTTTCCTTCCATTCACAGATATAGACTCATTTTTTTTAAAAAAAATGCCTCTCCATGCTTACAAAATAGACTCCATCTTTACAAAACCTTGTGGAATAGAACCACTAGTCCCAATGCCCTCTATCCTCTGGATTAGCCTTTTTTTTTTTCTTTTTTGCCACCTCCAATTAGAGTGTGTCATGGATTTTTAAAAAATGAAACTAAAGTTTAAAATAACATGACAGTTTGATGAGTTAATGCTAAGTAAATACTTACATAAAATATTGATGGACCCCCTCCACCCTTGTTGAAGCTGGGAGGGAGGAACAGTAAAAACAATCTATGAGTTTTCAATAAAATGAAGGGTTCTGTCAGAAGTGAGTGGGAAATGGGGCTAGTGGCTCTATTCCACAAGGTTTTGTAAAGATGGAGTCTACTTTGTAAGCATGGAGAGCCATTTTAAAAAAATGAGTCTATATCTGTGAATGGAAGAAAAAAAAAATTTTTTTAAATGATAACTCTGCCCTATCCTTTTCAGGGACAAATTCCAGAAAAATCATACTTCGGAAAAACTATTACAGTGTTTCTTTTCATTTTCATTCTCTTTTTTTTTTTTTTTTTTTTTTTTGAGACAGGGTCTTACTCTGCCACTCAGGCTGGAATGCAGTGACACTATTATAGCTCACTGTTGCCTTGACCTCTTTGGGCTCAGGTGATCCTCCCACCTCAGCCTCCTAAGTAGCTGGTACTACAGATGTGTGCCACCACTAATTTTTATATTTTTTGTAGAGATGAGGGTCTCACTATGCTGTGTCAGCTGCTCTGGAACTGCTGGGCTCAAGAGATCCACCCACCTAGGCCTCCCAAAGTGTTGGGATCACAGGAGTAAGCCACAGGGCTTGGCTGTGTTACATTGTTTCTGTTACTTTGAGAAAGGTTGTTCTTCCAAATGTACCTACTTACAAAACATTAAATGCAGATATGGGAAAGACCACCATGTGCAGTTGCTCACACGTGTAATCCCAGTACCTTAGGAGAACAAGGTGGGAGGATCGCTTGAGCACAGGAGTTTGAGACCAGTTTGGGCAACGAAGTGAGACCCCTGTTTTTTGTTTGTTTTAGTGGTTTTGTTTGTTTTTTAAAAAGGAAAGGAAAGAAAAAAAAAAGTGGAAGGGGTAAGACCTATTCACAATTATAAAGGATTAGGAAGAGTGAAGCTCATTTTATTTTATTCTATTCCATTTATTTATTTAGACAGGCTCTCACTCTGTTGCCCAGGCTGGAGTGTAGTAGCACGATCACAGCTCACTGCAGCTTCAACCTCCCAGGCTCAAGTGACTCCCACCTTAACCTCCCCAGTAGCTGGGACTACAGGCACATGACACAATGCATAGCTAATTTTTTTAAAAAAATTATTTTTTGGAGGGCCGGGGGGGGTGGGGAGGTGGGAAGAGATAGCATGGGGAGAAATGACAGATACAGGTGAGGGGACGGAAGGAAGCAAAGCACACTGCCATGTGTGTACCTATGCAACAATCTTGCATGTTCATCACATGTACCCCAAAACCTAAAATGCAATAAAAAAAAAGAAAAAAAAATTATTTTTTGTGCAGACAGGCAGAATCTCACTACATTGCCCAGGCTGGTCTTGAACTCCTGGGCTCAAATGATACTGCCATCTTCACATCCCAAAGTTCTGGGATTACAAGGTGTCAGCCACTGCACCTGGTCAACCCCACATTTTAATTGTTATATGTTGGTGCAAAAGTAGTTACTGTTTTGCCATTTCAATAGCAAAAAACACAATTACTTTTGCACCAACCTAATATAGAAGCATTAGTAGAAATGAATCCAGGCAGGTGAGATGAGATACTGGAAAGTAAATGATTGAGTTACTTGTCACTGTAAGAAAAAATGTAATGGTAAGTCTGTAATTGTACACACACAGCAGAGGTCTGACTAGTAGACCCTGAGTTCACCCATGTCTAAGGAAATCCAATGATAAGTAAACATATCATTACTGTTTCAACATAGGCAGGCTTCCAGTGACAACTGAAGAGACAAGTAGAATTATCAGTGGCCTACCTGGGGCTACTGAAGAATGATATACCTGATGTTTAAATTAGTTCTCATTTTATTAGACTTTTTAGCCTCTCTGGGGAGCATGGTTTTCATTATTTAAATTTTGCGTTCTTTAATTTTAAAATCACAATTGGCATCATTCCATTAATATCTTCAGCAATCAGTTATTCACCAGTAGACCACAGGAATTTAATATTTTGCCACCAAAACTTAGGCAAATGAATTCCCCAGTTAGAATGAGCTACACTCAATACACGGAAAGACAAATGTTAAGGTGACCAGCAAGTGTGAAAAGCAGACAGAGAAGGGATAAATCATCATGGTTGATGACATTATGGAGAAGGTATAACCTTAAGAAGTTGCTAATCAAATTTCTGTTGATGGCAGAGACAGTGGAGCATCTGCCTTTATGCATGAGCTGTTCACGTAGTGAAATGACTATTTTTCATTTAGTCCTTTGGCTGTTATATGACTACACACATTCTGAATGGGTTGCTCTCTTCATTAGAAATAGAGATACACTGTAAATGATTTATTTGTAACGAACACTTGGGCATATGCTGCCTGGTACATCTCCTGATAGCACTGGCCTGGGAATTCTGCTGCTGGCTCTGCTGAGAATTAGTCCTAAGACTTTGGGCAAACATAGTTTTTTCAACTTTAAAATAAGAGAGTCTGACCCTTGCAGGTCTAAAATTATTTGACTCTGATCGTAAACGTATCTTGAACTTTAGACTCATTTTTGGTTCTGGTTTTTCTTTCTGTGTTAATCACCAAGTCCTGTTGGTCCTTCCTTTAAAGAAGGAAATTGTTCTTGAATCTCCCTGTTCTCTCTATTCTCACAGCTACGCATCTGCTGTGTCTGTCCTACCAATACAGCCCTCTCTCCCTAATAGAGGCTCCAGGGCCCCCATTTATCCTGTCTCTTTGCAGCACTTTGTAGCAGATCAGCCGTGTTTCCACTTTTGCTCTATTCTTTTTCTTACGATGGGCTAGATAAATAGTCTGTAACTTCTGTTCCATATAGGCATGGGCTGCAGAACAAGAGGTCTGTTGGAATTGCCATAACCAGAGATTGTGTATATTGTGGGGGCCAGGGAGAGTTTGGGAACTCACAGAAAGCAGTAGGGGTGAAGTATTTTGGTGTCTGGTACACATGTAGGCTCTGGGACAGTTTTGGAGATAGGTCTACAAATTGAGCATATGTGACTGAGATGTATGGCCAATAGCAATTTTTATAAACTGAACTATAAAGTCAACAAACCCACAGTTTGCTTTTAGAGCTAAAGTTAATATTATCCAATTCAATCTCTTTTTTTACACACGAGGAAACTAAGGTCCAAAGAGGTTCTTGCAAATAGTAGATAATAAATATTAGGTGATCGTAAATAATCTAATCAAGTGAGTCTTCAGACAGATTAATTCTTTTGTTTTTGAGATGGAGTCTCTCTTTGTCACCCAGGTTGGAGTGCAATGGTGCAATCTCAGTTTACTGCAACCTCCCCTTCCTGGGTCCAGGCGATTCTCCTGCCTCAGCTTCTGGAATAGCTGAGATTACAGGCATCTGCCACCACACTTGGCTAATTTTTGTATTTTTAGTAGAGGTGGGGTTTTACCATGTTGGTCAGGCTGGTCTGGAACTCCTGACCTCGGGTGATCCATCTGCCTTGGCCTCCCAAAGTGCACAGATTCATTCTTTATGGTATTTAATGCCAGAACCAACTAGTCTTGGTTTTAGTCAGCAATTCAAGAGTAAATCTACTTGTCAGAACCCATCAAGGGAATATGGCTTTCATGACACTGATTTCAGACCAGTGAACCTGACTTAGGATATCTGATCTCCAGCACTATTAGAAAATAAATGTATGTTGTTTTAAGCCATCAAGCTTCTTGTAATTTGTTACAGCAGCCTTAGAAAACATACAGTGACCTTAGGGATTCTTCAAGTAAAGGTAGACTTCAGTAATATCTTCATCTCAATAGCACTGGAAAATCAGATAAGCCATAAAATTATGTTTTTTAATGTTATCACATGTGAGCCACAGCCTTAAGCCAGAGGTTAGCTTTGGAAGGCAGGAAAATATAGAATGATAAAAGCTTCTCTACCTATAGTTTTTCTGACTTGTACTCTTGAGTGGGACAACCAGTGAAAATTGCAAGTAGAGAGAAGAAATGCATATTTATTTCTCCACTGGGAACAAAAGTCCTGTCAATAGGTATGTAACTTTAGGTAAATTGATCTGCTTATTTAGGCAATTATTTAAGCTCAATTTACTCACCAATGAAATGATAACACCTACCACAAAAGGTTGTTGTCAGTTAAAATGATTATAGATTA